AGAGAGATTCTCTGACATGTTTATTTATTTAACCTCTCTTGTCTGAAAGCCTGTTAACAACCTGCAAATTGCTTTGTATCTTAGGAGAAAGACACAAGAGTATGTGAACATCCTCTGTCAGATATAGTGATTGCTGGCGAAGCAGCTCACCCACTACCCCACACTTTCCATCGCCTCCTCCAGACAATCTCTGACCTTATGATGTCTCTTCCCAGTGGTAGTGCATTACAGCAAATGGCCTTACGGTAAGCACAAATCAAGGAAGTTCTTAAGAGGCTGGAAATGTTGTAACAGTATAGATTAAAAGATTTTTCAGTGTAGATAGGAAGTTTGAAAAAACCTTTATGTGCCTCTGTGTAAAGGAGCGTGTGTATCCTTGCACATAGGGAAGATATAAAAGATGTCATGTGGTTTTGTATGTATAAATACTAGTATAAACGACTTTGTAGAGATAAATTTATTTGTTCTTAAATTCTGATAGGCTTTGTCTTTTAAACAATATTCAAAACTTTTAAATCCACTAAATGTGTTTTCAGGTGCTGGAGTCTCAAATTCAAACAATCTGATCACCAATTCCTGCACCAGAGCAATGTTTTTCATCATATCAACAATATTTTGTCTAAATCTGATGATGGAGATAGTGAAGAGAGCTTTAGTATCAGTATTCAGTCTGGTTTTGAAGTCATGAATCAGGCAAGTATTACACCTCTCTTGGGAGCAGAGATCATTTATGAGCAGCCTGTGTTTCTTATAATCAGTCTGTTTGAATTAAAACATCTTTTATTTCAACGTCATATTTCCTTGAATATATCTCAGTTTGAGATCTTGTTGCTGATATTGAGGTTCTCATATTTAGCTTTAGTGGTTCAAACATTGCAATTTAGCCTGTATATCACTCAGAACTAAATTTTGGAGCGTTGCTTGTCAGTGCTTGTTTGCAAGTAAAATGGGCATCTCTTGTGGTTCATTCAGTTAATTCATTTGGTTCACTGAGTTAGTTAAATTTTTAAATCCTGTGTACCTCCAGTTCTTTCTTGCTTATATCTTTTTTTATCTGTTATTCTGAGGGGCACAGGCTAATATTCCTAATTAATATCTTTAAAGTGTTGTTTTCCATTTATTAATACATTTAATCATTTGCCAGTATATTTTGCTGTTAGCTATTAATATTTCCTTTTGTTTAAAGCACTGAATAATTTGAAACAATAAATGACTAATTTCTTCTTTAATTCAGAGACCATGTTCCTCAGAACACATATGTCTGTGATCTTAAAAATTTAAAATAATGCCTGTATTTTGGCTTAGTTTCTGATCTTATAAATGTTCTAATTTTTTTTTTTCACAGGAACTGTGTATAGTGGTTTGTCTGAAAGACCTAACAAGCATCGTTGACATTAAAACATCAAGCCGACCGGCCATGATTGGTAGTTTAACAGACGGATCTACAGAAACATTCTGGGAATCAGGAGATGAAGATAAAAACAAAACTAAAAACATCACAATCAACTGTGTAAAAGGCATCAATGCACGTTATGTGTGTGTTCATGTAGACAATTCCAGAGATCTTGGGGTAAGAGGAAAATGCAATGGCTCTCATTGAAGGTGCTTATTCAAAGTTGTCGGTCAAGAAATGACTTTTATGTGGTCCGATTCAGTTTGTGATTCTAACTGAGAAGCTCACATTTCAAAGTAAAGTTTCTGATTCCTGTGGTTTTGAAAGCAGTACTTAATGTGATCAAACCAGTTCAACTGAATTTACGGTTTGCATGAAACTGGGAAACTTAATTTTTAGTGACTTATTCAAATAAAGAGTTTTCATAAAATCCAATCTATTTTCTAGACTTCTGACTACCATAAACTACAACTGTCCACTGTGTCCAACCTCAATTTCTACCTTTTCACTTGAATTTCTCTTATGAAGAGTAGTAATACCTTGTAAACCACAATTATTAAATACAGGGAAATTCAGGCATGGTTAATTTAATTATAATAATGCTGATAGGCCATAACTGAGTAACTTACGACTGTATCACCTTGCCAGAAAGAGACAACCTTTTCACTTACTACATTCATGTTTATTGATCTGTACAGTAATGTCACAAATATGTCTTTGTTTCAACTACACTTTTTCATACAAGGAGCTAATTATTTTTGAGAGTTGTGCTTTGGAATTTGTTGTCCTTGGTTTTGATCACTTTTAAATTTTATTTTTGTAATGAAACAATTTGTCTCCTTTTATGTACCTACTCTCTTAATATGGAAGAAATAGCCGGAATGGTCCTCATTTGAAGTGTTTTGTTCTTATTTTGCTTGTCTGCTGCAGAACAAAGTAACCTCAATGACTTTCCTCACTGGCAAGGCAGTAGAAGATCTCTGCAGAATAAAACAGGTAAACATTTTAACAGTTGACATTGAAAAATTGCTGTCATTTTTTGGCTGCATATAGCAGAGTTTCAACAAACTGGTTGCTTCTGGAGGCACTTAGAATATACCTGAAATAATTGCATTAAGTAGTGCTTTACATTGCTAGATATTCTGATGCCTGGCTGCTTAGTGTTGCACTGTCATTTTCTTTTATCTGCTTCATGGAATCATTTTTCATTAGAGAAATGCAGCTGAAGAGTGAGCAGAAGTAGAACACTGTAACAATGAGAAAATAAATCATTTACCCTCAACCCACGTTTTTCTAGTTGTGTGGTCTAATACACGTTGACAACACACATTTTGCCCTGCCCTTTTGGTTCTGAACTTCAGGTAGCTGGGGACTTCTCTCCAGGCACTCAAGTTCAGAATCTCTATGCTTTGGTTGCTAAGCAGGGAGTTACCATTCTGGGCTCAGAATTTTATTATTTGGCTTACTGACAGTCAGTGGTAAAATTCTTCAAGAAACCACATTGATTGCAGAGGAATGGTTTGTTTTTCTCTACCTCTTAGTCTCAGACAACATTTAAGCAAAGATACAGCTCCAAAAGATGTTACGCATCTGAAGAAACTAAACTGTGCTGCAGCGGGCTCATACTAAACAGTGAGGTGTGAGTGTGTGTACGTAGATGGATACCAAGTTTGTGTGTGTATTGTCTGTGAGTCTTCATATGTAGATACAAAGATGGGCATCCCACACGCTTGGAGAATTCTTTTTTGTGACAAGACTGACCTGGTGTGTCTACCCGTCTAGTTAAATGAAAGACGACTGTGGCAGAGCTCTGGTGCTGGAGTCGTGATCGTTCATACAGCTTGTTGCCTCACTCCCTGGCTTTATTTCTGTCAAACACGGTGCCCAGGCGTTTTTTCCAGGGATGGTTGCTCCCTTTTTGCTGGGCAGTTCTCTGACACTTCTCCAATGGGTTTTTTTATAGAATCATAGAGTGGTTTAGGTTGGAAAAGACCTTTAAGATCATCAAGTCCAAGCATTAACCCAACACGCTGAGTACAGCACTAAACCATGTCCCTAAGCACCACATCTACAAGTCTTAATACCCCCAGGGATGGTGACTCCACCGCTTGCCTGGGCAGCTCAGTGCTTGATAATCTTCAAACAGGCCTGCATACTGCACCCTAACTCATGCATACTCTGTTGTATGGTATTACACCAAAAAAAAAAAAAGGTCCTGTCTGCTGCAGCCCAGTTCAGTACAGACACTGAGAATTAGCATAGTAACGGGAAGAAACAAATATTAGCTTCATTATAAATGAGCTGCTGGGCCCTGTGGATGAGGGAAGGCTCACTTGGCTCAGGGCAAGTGTAACTTAGGCCCATTCAGGTTGCTGCCAGCAGTTTAAATCAGGCACTGCATCCTGTTATTATTTGGCTTCTGATAGTGACATAACAGTTTAAATCATGCAACACTAACTAGGTTTTTTCTTTAACTACATTTATTTTAAAATAAATTAATTTGATAGAGTTAATCTCTTTTCTACACCTACTAAGTCCTGCATCTCTTGATAAGGGTATCAGACATTGACTTGCACAGAGTTAGTTTCTTGGGCAGGGGTACATGTGGATGGGGCAAAATGATCACTGATAGTTGTGTGTTTTATTTTCAGTTAAATTATGGGATGGGTTTTTTTTTTAATTGAAAGCAATGGGCAAATACTAGTTCAAAGTGGGTTTTGTATATGTGAACTGTTGCTTAGAGTATAAAAAGGATAGATAGGCCACTATTTTAAAAAGGCTTTAAAGACAAAAAATAGATTACTATGTCATATTTTGGTTTTTAAGCTTGAGAATTTTTTTCACTGAATTCATGAGGTTGAGTATTCTTACAATTAAACACGACAGTCTTACTGTTCAGGATGAAAATTTCATAGCAAACACCATTGGTTCCAGCGATACGTGATGGGTTTGTTTTTAGAGGTAGGTGACTTGGTTTGATGTAATGTCAGTTCCCATCTCTGTATTCCCGTTTAATAGGTAGACTTGGATTCAAGACATATTGGCTGGGTAACAAGCGAACTTCCTGGGGGTGATAATCACATCATCAAAATTGAATTGAAGGGTCCAGAGAATACCCTGAGAGTTCGACAAGTGAAAATTCTTGGATGGAAAGATGGTGAAAGCATTAAAATAGCAGGCCAGATATCTGCAAGTGTAGCTCAGCAAAGAAACTGTGAATCTGAGACGCTGCGAGTGTTCCGGCTCATTACATCCCAGGTGGGATTTTAATGATGTGTTATCCGGTGAAAGTCACTATTCATTACAGTCTGCCAGTGCTTTATCTTTTAATGTAAAATGTCACATCTGCACAAGGTTGTCTTTGAGATAGGCTAATTGTCACTGTCTTTCTTCCAGGTATTTGGAAAACTCATCTCTGGAGATGCTGAGCCAACCCCAGAACAAGAAGAAAAAGCCCTGTTGTCTTCCCCGGAAGGAGAAGAAAAAGTACACAATGTATTTATTTGTATTCTATCAATAATACTTTGCTGAAAAAAATGATCCGGGATGATTTTCAGTATTTGTCCTATGTCTTATGCTACATAATTTTCAGGTCAAAACAGAAGTAAAACGTCACAATTGCTTATTTTTACAAAAAAAAACCGACGTGTTTTTTAATTAGTAAATTGTGATGGGGAAACACACGTGTAAGGGACACATCATAGCAGTGGTGGCACGAATTACGCCTGCAGTCGCAGGAGTACTTAACACCTGCAGTAGTGGTCAGCCTGAAAGTCCTTCTTGCCTATTATCCTGTGCCTTAAGAGGGGCTCTGTTGATGTTTAGTGCAAAAATACTAAGAAACAGCACCGGTGTCCTTTTACCGAGCGTTCTCTCCTGTCTTCCAGCAAGGACACTTTAACAAGTGCTGCTGAGAAGGTCACTGTATCTGGACTGTCACGTTTAATAGCCAAAACTGGACTGTCCTTAATGAAAGTCATTTCATTTCTCAGATGATGTATGCTTTTGCTCTACCCAGTACCTGGTGGCAATAAGTCCCATGACTGAATTACTCGTTTCGTAAAAAGTGTATTTTTCTCACACCTGCTGTGTGGTGACTTAATTGTGTGTTCCCTGTTTCTTTTACTGTGAAATATAAAAAACTGAGGAGTATATTCCATTCACTGCTTCACAGAATCAGTGTCTGTACTAAGCTGCGTGAAGAGGCTGAATCTCGGATAATTATCCTTCACTTGTTCTGCTTATTGATTATTTCCTTTTGTTTAATGCTCAAATTTCCTCTCATAAAGAGAAAGAAAGTAAATATATCTAAGAGGTATTTATTAACCATAGTTAAATTGATCTTGCTTCTGTATCTTATTTCTCTGTAACAGCTACAGGCTTTTAAAGCAGTTTGTTGATGTTCCATGTTAATTGCTACCGTAATTAAGAAATGTTTTTACAACTCTTGATCTAATACTAAATGTGGTTTTTTATGAAGGCAACATCAGATGCAGACCTGAAGGAGCACATGGTAGGGATCATATTCAGCCGGAGCAAGCTGACAAATTTGCAGAAGCAGGTTTGTTCATTCTGAAATTCTTTGAGGATTATGTGTTTGTGAGCTGTAATAAATATGCTCATTTTCAGTGAATACAGTACTTCTAACTTGACAGATATTCTGTTGTTCTTTGTAATCGAATTTTGGTTTACATTTTAAATAGTGTATGTGTGTGTTTTATATGAAAAATCTTCTGAGAGTGACACTGAACAAATCCATTTTAATAGGAAAAACCTTTATTAGACTCAATTTAAAAATAAAAGTTTCAGAACTGAGTTGCAAATGGTACTTATTCGTGTTTGCTGACACAGCATAATAGTAGACCCTCTCAAAGTTTTAGAAGAGATTCAGTGACAGAGTTTAGATTCCTGGTTTTGCATGTTTTTGTCCCCCTTTCTGTCACCAAAAAGTATTTAGGTTTGATAAAATTTAAACCTAAAAAGGTAATCACTGCATAGATTATTGAACATTTTTTTCCTGCAGTAAGTGAAAGTTAGGGTTTGTGGTTTTCTTAGCTTTGTTTTTCTTGACATAAAGCAGTAGTTAAGAATATGTTTTTCCTTTTGAATACTTATTTTTTTAAAAATATACCAGCTAAACCATCATTTGTATTATCTTTATTGCATCTATCATGAGACAAACATTGCCGTAAAGACTTCCCCAGTAATGTAAGAGGTACTAGATTCATTTTGAAGTTTGTTACATTAGTAAGTCATGCAGAATATACTTTTTTGCCACCCATCTTAGCAAACTTTAAAGTCACTTAAATACACTTTTTAACATGCTATTGGTAAAGTAACTGAAATCGGTAAAAAATTGAATTGGTAAAAAAATTGAAAGTGGGGAGATTTAGATTGGATAGCAGGAAGAAGTTCTTCCTGGAGAGGGTGGTGAGGCACTGGAACAGGTTGCCCAGAGAAGCTGTGGATGCCCCATCCCTGGAAGTGTTCAAGGCCCGGCTGGATGTGGCTTTGAGCAACCTGGTCTAGTGGAAGGTGTCCCTGCCCATGGCAGGGGGGTTGGAACTGGGTATCTTTAAGGTCCCTTCCAACCCAAACCAGTCTGTGATTCTGTGAAAATATGAACATGGTTTCTAAAATTTTTTAAGCTCCCTGAACACTAAACAAGAGACAAAGTCTTTTAGTAAGTCCTTTCTTTTTTGGATGCTGAGCAAATATATTTCTTCTGGTTGTTTGGGTGTTTTTTAATCTGAATTCTACGGAAAAAAGCAAATTAAAAGCCAGGAACTACAATACAAAAATATTTATTTCAATGAAATTTTACAGTATTAAATCTAAATCTTGAGAATCAGGAATTTAATCTAATCTTTATGTTGTTCATCATTTGAATTTATGTTGCAAAGTAATTTAAGCACAGGCCAGATTTCACAGGCTTTCCATCTTAGTCAAGAGTTGTGAAGGTACATAAAACACAATCTCTTTCGCTTTCTAGAAGTTTTTTAAGGGTTACTGTGTATTTGGTTTCTGTTTGGATAGGTGTGTGCTCATATAGTCCAGGCCATACGGATGGAAGCAACCCGGGTGCGTGAGGAATGGGAGCATGCCATCTCGAGCAAAGAGAATGCCAACTCGCAGCCCAGCGATGAAGATGCTTCTTCCGACGCTTACTGCTTTGAGCTGCTGTCAATGGTTCTGGCATTGAGCGGTTCCAACGTAGGCCGGCAGTATCTGGCTCAGCAGCTGACTCTGCTACAGGATCTCTTCTCGTTACTACACACCGCTTCTCCCAGGGTGCAGAGACAGGTGAGTGCTAACCGGTCCTTGTCTGTCCCCCGTTCCTAGGAAAAAAGCCTTTAGAAACCTCTAATTGCATGCGTGATGGTGTAGTATCTATTTGAACTTATTTTTGGGGGGAAAGTGTAATTTCGTGTTTTCACTTCAAAACTGCTTTCCCACTCAGATCGTGCCTATATTCCACATAAAGAATAATTGGAAATAAAGCTACTCATTTTATTACTGAAATCATGAGGAGAGGGCAAGTAGAAATTTATGACCATTTAAAAACAAATTTCAGAATCTTTTTAGAATTTAAGTGCCAGGTTTTGGGTTTGCATTTATTTTTCCCCCCAGTTTTTGAATGGGGTTAAAATGATCAAGTTTGGTGTGCTTGACAGGTAAATACATACATACTCCAGCACCACCCCAATTTGACTGTATAAAGCTCTTTGTCGGAAACATGAACAGTGTTGAAGCTGAAGGCTGCAGTTGTGAAATTAAAACGAGCTCACTTCTGAGTAAGTTTGTAATGTTTTGTCTCCAGAAGGTAGAACCGAGGTGGAGGAACCCCAGAATTGCTCAATTAAGACATCATCATTAATCTAAATCAGCAAACTATTCTGAAACGCCTTTGAGTGATATCACTCTACCTTTCTTGTCCTAATTCTGAAGGATTTTGCATAGGTTAGGATAACCTGCTTTCTCAGACGGCACATCAAAGGGCCACACGACGTGCTTGGCAGGGCTCATTCCTGAAATGAAGCAAGAGCAATTAGTCGCTCTGTGCGTCCTAATGTGGGAGCTTTGTACGGAAGCACACGGCCTTTGTTTTGGGGTGATGTTGCGAAGGGTTCTCCGGTGAACCTGAACTTCACAGTAGTCAGTGAATCTTACTTCACAGGAGCCCAATTATTCCTGTTTTCAACAGGTTTGTCCGTGTCATAGAATCATAGAATAGTTTGGGTTGGAAGGGACCTTAAAGATTATCTAGTTTCGGCGTATTTTCAGTTTGCCTTTCTTTCGCAATGGCTAAGAATTCTCCCTAAGATAAAGTTCAGATTCTGAGGTTGGCACGGCCTTTCACTGACACTGCTTAAATTTAGACCAGTGTTACGTGTTACATCCCAAAGAAGAGACATCTTAAAGTTCATGATTTGCATCTGGACAGCATCATCCAGAATTGTTACGTACAATTGCAAGAACCAGAGCTGCTGCTTTCAAATATCAGAGCTGGTCATTTCCCATTTCTCAAATGTATGAAGGCTGCGTAAAAAACAGCGAAGTTTTCAGGTGTGGAAGGAAGCTAGGGAGGTGACTGCTTATTTTTTAATAAGATCTTACGCCGCTTCACCGTGGGGAAAGGGTGTGAGAGAGCTACACAGCTACCCCCATTGATACGTGCTGCATGTGCTCCAAATACGAGTAAATGTTTGCCTGATTTGAGGAGGCTGTAGTTAATTCCTGTCCTTTTAATGTCGTGTTTGACCTCGAAGCACAGTGACAGCTAGAATTACAGGATAACTCATGACAGTCTTGCTAAAACATCACAGGCAGAGCAGAGATTAGACCTTGAATGAGTAGAGAACGGTTGAAATATCCGTCAAACGGACAGGACCTAAAAATCTGGTGGTGTTTGGGTATTCCACATTACACATCTATAATGCCTATATAGGTAGGCTGAGAGGTTTTTAATTAGCAGCATCTGTTACTCATCTGGCATGAATCCTTAACATCTGTGTCCTACTCTCAGGCTACGAGTGTAGTAGTGTGGAACCAGACAATGCTTTTCTACTCTTGGTATCCTCAGGTAGAGCTTTAACATCTGTTTCTTTCTCAACTTGGATGTTGTCCGTCTGAGTGTGTGTGTGTTTATAAGTACATAATGTAACTTAAATATATAAATACACAAAATATTGGCTCTAGTACAGTTCATGCAATAGGAGCCTGTTGCTAGCTGGTTTGCCTTCTCCTAGGTGAATTTTTAGTTCACATCCCAGAAGTTTTTGTGTCTCATATTTTCTACTTTTCTGTTCCCAGTTTTCTGAACTGTTACAGTGTCACATCTCAACTTGCCCGGAGGCAGATGCTGCCCTGCTTAGTGATTCTGACATATTTCAGATGCAAAATACTTGGGGGGGGTCGTGTCTTAAACTGTAAACAGTTTGTCAAGACAACATCGAAAGCTTGAGACATCAGATATGACATGTTAACCCTTCAGGTTTCATACATCCTGATTTGGATCAAAGTTTGCACGATACCAGCCGTTTTCAACCCCATTTCCACCAGCTGGTAAGGTTGAAGTGTATCATTTCAAGACAGCCTCTGTTAGATCCAGAGTAATTGGCACAGATTTCCTTTCTCAAAAGACGTCAAGTTAGAATATCACAAGGAAAACTAAGTGAGGGGGATGGAGGGTATCATGATTCTCAGTACTCTGAGGCAAGTACTTTGTTTTCAGAAGTCTGAAGTGTCTAACTGTTCTACCACAAAGCCTCTGACATCTGAAGACGATATCTGATGACATATATATCTAACGACTATATACACAGTGGGTAACAGGCCTGTAACGTGCAAGCAAATCAGAGTTGTACAAACATCTGTACCTCTGTTATCTGGTACCAAGCATATTTTTATTATTATATGAAGACTAAGTAGTGTTTGAGTGAGATTTGTTCTGGACTCTTTGGCCTTGTATCACTGAGTATATTAATAAACACATCAAGGGAAGATAGAAACCTTACAGAATATCTTGCAGGTGTGATTTACATACAGAAAATGGCTTCAGTCCTTCTTACTGAGCAACAAAAAACTTGTGAAGAAGGAAAAAGACTTTATTTGATTTTGCTTGAAAACGCCAGCTGTCTTGGTAAGAATTGTGGTGTTCTGATGTTTGGGTTTTTTTTCCCCCTGCAGGTAACATCATTACTAAGACGTGTTTTGCCTGAGGTAACCCCTAGTCGTCTGGCAAGCATTATAGGAGTGAAGTCTCTTCCGCCAGCAGATATAAGTGATATCATTCACTCCACAGAAAAAGGAGATTGGAATAAACTGGGTATCTTAGACATGTTTTTGGGATGCATTGCCAAAGCTCTCACTGTACAGCTAAAAGCCAAAGGAACTACTATAACAGGGACAGCTGGCACGACGGCAGGCAAAGGAGTTACTACAGTCACGCTTCCAATGATCTTCAATTCCAGGTTTGTTTAAAAATACGTACATATTTGCAAGCTAAAGGCACAAAAAAATTACTTTCTTTGAAGTCAGTTACGTTGTCCTTTATAACCTTTGTTTTATAAATGGAAAAAGTAAAAACTATTGAAGAATGTGATTAAAAAAAAACAAAACCAACCCACCACAACAACCAGCCAAAGAAATCCAACAACTTACCCTGCAGTGAATATGTGCACTATTCCTTTGGAATGAATTTTGACAAATATTAGCTAATTACTTGAATTCACTGTATGTGTGGGTTACCCTGTCTCCTTTGCAGCTATATTCGGCGGGGCGAAAGCCATTGGTGGATGAAGGGTTCAACGCCTACACAGATTTCGGAGATCATTATTAAACTCATTAAAGACATGGCAGCAGTAAGTTTCGATGCTTTAAATGTGTAAAAGGGGGTATCCAAACATTTCTGATAATGAGGGGTACATTTTTTCATTGCTTTCTATTAGTTAGTGTTGGATTGAGCTGTTAAATGTGAGTTGGTCTCAAGGAGAAAAAGGTCTAGTCTTCTGGGTAGAGTCTAGGTGCAGGAGCAGTAGGAACTGATTCTGATGAACAGAGATCCATTTTTTAAATAAGCCTTTTAAAAAAGACACTATTTATGTTAGAAATTTACGTTGCTAACAATAATTGTCATTTTCTACATTATTAACTTAGAAGCCCAATTTTTTTAAGTATTGAGCACTCCGATCTCCAGTTGAAAAGTAAAAAAGGTCTGTGGAGTAGGATGACTGTCATTTTCACATAACTATATAGTTTGTATATGTGGAATTTCTGCTTAAGACTGCATGTTAAAATTGATTTTTTTCCAGTCTTACAGAAATCTACGTTTATAGTTGTTTATTACTTTAACCATCTGGGCTGAAATTTTTCCATAGCTGTATCTGCTTCGGGCAGATATTTTTGGCAGAAGAATTTGATGAAAAGTGGTTCAGCTATTTCCCAAAAAGAATGTTGGGGCGGGGAGGGATAAGTTTTTGTATAGGTTTACAGGAAAGGAGTTTAGCTGGGGAGTTCTTTTTGTTTCCCATTCTGTACCTATTTCAGTGAGATGCTCTAAATGACCCAAATTTTCCTCTGTGATTACCCTTTGAAAGCTGTGATTCAGTATGTCCAGCTTGGGAGTGCTGTTTTCTAAACCATCCGCTGTGGTTCAATTAAGGAGATCCCTTCTCAAAGTTGCTGAAGCTGGATGGGAATTCTTTGCAATTGCTGCTGTTGATTCTGACCTCACAACTCCTCTTTAGCTGAGTTACAATTAAGGTGTGTTGGCCCTCAGCAGTGCTGGTCAGTGCATAAAACCATCACTTAGTCTTTGCTTCCGTTGCTCCAGAGGGGAAAGGTCGGTTGTAGGTACCACTGTGATTACACACGGAGGATTTTTGTTTATTTAACACTTCAGCAAATTGCATACAAAAACTAGGACCGAAAAAAAACACCAAAAATAGCACTTGCAAAGACACGTGCTCAGAAGACAGTAAATGCCAAGGTCAGCATGCTGCCCCCTGTCCGTACATCCCTGTGTGTTTTTCTCAGGCACCCCACTATGTAGAAGATGCAGGATATATTGGGAATGAATTGCAGGGTAATTTTTTCAAGAGGCTTTTTTTTCTTTTCTTTAAGAGTTGTTGCCAGTGTCTTTTGTAGTCGTTGTTGGCAGATGTGCTTTGGGAAGTGGGAAAATGACAGGGAAATAGGGGATTCTCTTCAGCAACAATTTTTAAATAGTGTTGGGCGAGTCTTTTGAAGCAAACTGTGGTCCTTGTTTTACGGGATTCTGGCTCCCATGATGATGGAAGAGCTTGTCCCTGAATGAACAGCTGGTCAAAACTCAGCTGAGCCAAACCTTTGCCAGGAATAAAAGAAAGAGATCAGTAGAAATGGAAAATGTCCGGCTGACTAGAATCAGGTGCATGTAATATTTTTGCCTGAGCAGCTCCTCTAGCTGTTCAAGACCTTCACCCATGGAACTGTTGTATTTGTTAATACCTGGTTCTCCAAAACCATTGCAGACGTTAATAGGAAAGTTCGTAAAACTTCGGAGTCAGATGCGGCAACTTGTACGCATATCCAGAGTATGGTAGGCTCCATCTCCCACGTACCTGATGGTTTTCCAGCAGTGCTGGCTCTTGGGTATACTGGTGTGGGTCTTGCATTCTCTTGTTTAAGCAATTCCCCTTGGAATTAATATGTGGCCAGCAGGCTGAGGGAGGGGATTGTGCCCCTCTACTCTGCTCTTATGAGATCCCACCTGGAGTGCTGCGTCCAGCTCTGGAGCCCTCAACATCAGAAGGATATTGACCCGTTGGAGCGAGTCCAGAGGAGGCCACAAAGATGCTCAGAGGGCTGGAGCCCCTCTGCTATAGGGACAGGCTGAGAGAGTTGGGCTTGTTCAGCCTGGAGAAGAGAAGGCTCCGGGGGAGACCTTATGGCAGCCTTCCAGTGCCTGAAGGGGCTACAAGGAGGCTGGGGGGGACTTTTTACATGGGCCTGTAGTGACAGGACAAGGGGTAATGGGTTTAAATAGAAAGTGGGGAGGTTTAGATTGGATATCAGGAAGAAGCTTTTCACAGAGAGGGTGGTGAGGCACTGGAACAGGTTGCCCAGAGAAGCTGTGGATGCCCCATCCCTGGAAATGTTCAAGGCCAGGCTGGATGAGGCTTTGAGTAACCTGGTCTAGTGGAAGGTGTCCCTGCCCATGGCAGGGGGGTTGGAACTGGATGGTCTTTAAGGTCCCTTCCAACCCAAGCCAGTCTGTGATTCTAGGTAAGCGTTTCTTACAAAAAAGGAAGGGATCAGATGAAGTGTCGTCCTCTCAGATGCGTTTCTTACAAAAGAGAAAGGGATCAGATCAGTCAGATGAAGTGTCGTCCTCTCAGATGTGGGTATAAATCCCGCTTTCAGCAGATTCTGAATTGCTTACCTAGGGTAGCAGCTCCTAAGGGAATGGTTGGGACTGAGTATACTCTAATGTAATCAGTAGCCATGACCTGATTTGTCAAGGTCGTCCCCGACTGCCTCTTTTTCTTTTCAAACTTGAGATCCTAACCTGAGGGTGCTTGTAGCAGCTCTCAGGACAGTTTCCTCTTTCACAGGGTCATCTCTCGGAAGCTTGGTCCCGTGTGACGAAGAACGCTATTGCTGAAACCATCATAGCTCTGACCAAAATGGAAGAGGAATACAGATCACCAGTGAGATGCATTGCCACGACCAGAGTAAGAACTTTACTAAATGTTAGTTCATTTTAATCGTGCAGTAGGACGTTTGAACTAACGAGCTGATGATCCAAGAGCCTTCCTGTGGTTTAGATTTAAACGTCCTTACGCGGGTCGTTTCAGGCAACAATTCACACAGTATAGAGTTTCTATTCTGCAAATCCTGCTGTGTGCATGGACAGGTATCCTAACTAAGGTGACCACTCTTTATCCTAATAAAATTCCTGCTTTTGCTATGTCACAGCAGATTGAGTTGTCTTCTACCTGGCAGAAATACACCAGTAAAAACTGCATTTTGATTAAATATGATTAAGTATCTTGGGTACCTCCCAAGTAACGAAGAAGTGGTGTTACGCTTATACATTTGGGGGGTTATCCTTGAGGTACTTCCGCTTTAAGTTTGTGATACCTGACTTTTACTAAATTTATGAGATCATCTGTGTGGAAAATTGCACAGTATGTTATCAGCTGTCCTTTTCCAGCTCTCTGCACTGTTAGTTTAAGTGGTTTGACTTCTGGGTCATCAGCTGCCACATCTCAAGGCTATTATGAAAACACTCAGTAACAAACATTTTCTAGAGCAATTAAGCTAAGCTTCACCTGTGTTTTAGTCTCAGAATGAAAAGCTGAGCCCTTTATTGTTTACCTGAGGTGGGTTTGGGTTTTTTTTTTTTTCTGTGGGTTTTTCTTCTTCCATGACTCTCTTACAGAAACTTGGGCCAACTTAGCCTTCACAGATTGCTTGAAACACCATGAAAAGCATACTTGTAAATTATGGCATTCCTACCATCAGAGGGAGTACAGATTCTGGCTTCTCAAGCACCATAATTGCATGTGGAAGAAGAGCTTTGCAATGGTTACAAGCACTTGACATGTTGCTTTCCATCTTAAAAGGCCGTGCCAGTTGTGCTTTCCACCACCTTACTCCTGTTTTCTCTGCCCTCTGAGAGACAGGGTCTCAGATTACCACCAGCTCCTGCTCCTGGTAGTTTAACCAGGGCCCGGAGGTGCCCTGAGCATCAGTGCGGCATTCCATGTGCACGAACCTAGTTCTGCAACGGAGGTGTGCGTTTCTGGGGGGCGCGGGGGGAGTCCTGCAGGGATGAACAAAATGGCTTTAATTGGGAAAAAAAAAATCAAACCTTTGATCAAAAACAATTGCAAAATGCTGCTGTCGAGTGCATTTTGGTTTGGGCTGCAGGTCTACCGCCAGATTATCCTCATGTAGCTTGTGTCTCTCCAAATTTCACTGCAGGCAATGGAGAGGAAGAGGGCAGAGCTTCCTCTGAAGAGTAGTTAGCTCAGATCCCTCTTCTAGGTAATCCTAAATGCCCCGTGCAGTGAGAAGAGAACTTAAGCAAACCAGTATCACTGAGATAAAGTTTTGTCGGTTTGGTTCTTTTTTTATTAGTCCTTGAATTTCTTCTTCTCCTCAGAAACAGTTTGCAGGTAACAGTGACATTCTTGTCTGACAAAGTTTACATTTTTAGTATTTGGGATTCGTAATAATTTAATAGCATTTGGGTTTCTTAATAGTTTAATAGCATTTGGGTTTCTTAATAATTTAATTTAATAAATTAATAGTATTTGGGATTCTTAATAATTTAATTTAATAATTTAATGGCATTTGGGATTCTTAATAATTTCTTTTTAGTACTTATAAAACATTTAATTCTACCTTGTCTTTCAATAGCTATGGCTGGCCTTAGCGTCCCTCTGTGTACTCGATCAGGATCATGTTGATAGACTGTCCTCAGGAAGATGGATGGGAAAGGATGGACAACAGAAACAGATGGTGAGACTGAAAATCGTAACTTTTCGTGTTTGTTTTGATTCATTCAGTAGTCAAAGAGTTGAGAGTAATGATAGGGAAAGGTAGACTTGGCCTAACTTTATTCCTCCCTGTTGTCCTGTTGCACATACGTGTTTGTCCCATTGCACATACACGTTTGAATCATTTGTGTTTTATACAAGTTCTACTCAGAAAACAACTTTTCCAACTTAAAACAATAAGGTAGCAATTCTACTGGTATGCAGGGTGGAGAAGGGCCTTCCTAACACCTTTAGGATGGATTTTTGAGAGTAGATCGACTCAGTTAACGCCCTCTGTCAGAGCTTTTTTCTTTCTGTCTGGATCTCTGTCCCATAGTAAAGTCAATTCTTCTGTGTTCTCTGTAATTTAACTTTATTTTCTCCATCTCAGTGGAGAGGGATTACCCTAAAGAGAAAGAAACTCCAACTCAAATTTAGCAAAGCTACCATTTACCCAGAGGATTTACTGACTTGGTATGGAATATGATGGATTAATTGAGTTTCTGTCTCTATTTTTCAGTATCACAGAAAGCTTACAGCTTTTTTAATATGAACCTGGAAAGAGCAAAATGATGAAGCTGGTCTCTGTATAACTTGGTTAGGTGGGTCCCTGCGGGAGGCAAGGGAATATTGTGCCTTCCTGCTGGCAGCTGAGGACGCTTAGCGCAAAGGAGCCCCCAGAGCAGTTTAGGCAGAAAGAGAACACTGGGGGGAGAGAGCTGCAGCAGCAGCAGCGAGGACAAAAACTCTGCTGCGAGAAGGAAGCAGACACAAAGGTTCCTGAGGTGATGAAGAAAGTCAGGAGACTTCCGCAGAGCTTTGGAAATGTCAGACTAGTAGCCGAGACATCATACAGCAGGGATACAAGTTGTTGAACCCAGCCTGAAATTCCCCAGTCCTGTTTTGTACCAGGCTGTTGAAATCTTGAGGTGAACCGTGTCCCCCCTCTAGCAGGACTGCTGTTGAAAGGATTCTGTTCTCAGTTGCATGGGCAATGTCATGGAAACCACCACGTGTTCTGGGAGTAAGATGGAAACTCGCCCTCAGACATGTGCATATGGATAATCAGAGTCAGTCACTGGGCTGTTAATTGTACAGATATCTTGAGCTGGGGAAAAAAATTTTAATTAAATCTATCAGGGCAATTTAATTTTATGGTGGATTCTCTGACTGTATTCTCACAGAATTATCATTTAATTTTATGGTGGATTTTGAAGTTTTTTACTCTGACTGTATTCTCACAGAATTATAGGTGGCCTACAGCTTTGATTACATGTTTGAGCAGAGTAAACATACTGTATGGAAGTCGTTAAGGGTGAATATCCCGCCTGTTGGCTGACCTGAATACTTGTATCTCTGAACTTTTCTGTTAACATTCCCATAACCGGGTGTTACCACATAAATCTTTTCTCTGACTGGTTGAAAACATCTTTGCTGTCTTGTTGAAAAATGCGTTTTTGCTACATCACACAAAATACAAGATGATGAATATCAGAAGAACTTATATAATGAACAGGGGTTTTTGTGTCCAGGAGAAATCCAAAGCACAAGTACAGGCT